TCGATTTCAAGTACATGATTCCACCAGAAAGGTTATTCGTAGCTATTACGATTTATTCAATTCTCCTAATTTTAATATGTAATGGAGGTAAATATATTTTTCTTTAAACACACAGGGGACACATTTTTGTGGCAAGGGATACGAGAATCCTTTAACATTTGACAAATAAAAAATCACTTAGATGATCCTTCGGTTCCATCCAAATCATAGGAATTGCATATGGCATATGATGTACCATCTACCAAGAAAATAGTCTTAACACACAAAACATTATTGGGCCCAGTTGTTTTCAGAATCTCCAACTTGGCAACCAAATTCTCAAGTGGCGTTACATTTCTCCTCTGAGTCTTTCAAGTCAACTCTCCACAAATACAGCAAAAATTACCTCTTGGAATTACATACGTTCTTGTCATGAAAATAAAAACACTAAAACACAACTTACACAGGACACATCTAAACACAGTAAGGAAATATATCACTAGTGATATTCGTGCTAACAAGCTCACAGACACCTCAATACTGACACATCACAATGTCAGATTAACTGGTCTGAGCATGTCAAAACATGAATGAACCTGCAAAGGCCTGTTGATATTTTAGCATGGTATTACGTGCAAATTTCTCAAATGCAGCTTGAATAAAATTTTTACATACAAGGTAAAGATTCCTATGACAGGTCAAAGAGAGTTTAAAATCAGATTTTAGAAAGTAGCTATGACAAATAAAACGTGCCTGGTGGAAAATTTCTGAATACATATCTGAATTCTGTATGGTAAAACGCACTAGATTTACTAATGAGATTTCTTGCGAAAAAATCGTGTCGACTAGTATTATTTGGTATTAACACTTACGCCTTACCATTTCAGACATCCCATCTGGAATTATGTTCACAGGTGTAGAAAACATTCTGCCAAAAGGAGAACTAGTATGGAAAGCCTTCAACACCACTATAAAACCACAGTTGAACGCCCATCTCCTTGGATATGTATTTTACCCCTGTTTTTTAACCGCCACCCCAGGAAATGTACGAACCCCTGTAGTGTGGAACCATTCTCCTTGAGATGTCAAAAAAATATGCACAAGTAGATATGTAAATGCAAAGAATTGTTGAATGTGTATGTGATAGTCCATTTATAGTTCGTTGAAGTCTTTTATGCAAGACCATATAGTGTCACTTTGTTTACAAGTGAAATCTAATAATAGTAGATGAGACTGTTTGAAATATGGTAACACTGAAAAAGACATCAAATTACATGTAATAGCATGCATTACTCAATATGTACGTAATAGACGTTAGGAGTTGTTACAAAGAGGGAAAGTACGTTAGAAAAAGAAACATTTAGTGAACGTATTATTTGAATGGCCCTTTTCCAAGAATGAAATTGTTTATATCCAAGGTTGAAGAACACAAGAAAACATTATTACGGTCTTAAATTGTCTGAATACATCCCGAATGAAAAGTCCTGCGAAAAAACGCAGGGCTCTAACAAGTTCCCCAGGCGAATGAGGCGTCGTTGACATCAACATGATTTGCAATCTCTTGAAGAAACCCACATTCTTCCGTGCGAAATCTAGTTTCCAAACTACACTGTGCAGTTTGCCCAGTAGGAAAGTGGACATCATTAGAATTATGATAGATAGGCGCAAGTCTCATGGTTTTTAGTATTCAGCATTAAATCGTTTCGGGAATGGCAAAACTCATTTGTCGAAGTCTACCGAATGAGTTCAGTCAAGCGCATGTCGACAGACGCGTGAAACTACTAGCCAATAGATTTCAGGGCAGATCTTCCCTGAAACGGAAGGTTTAATGGTTGCCACACAAGTTCAAATTATCAGCACGCAGTTACAGGAATTATTCTCGCTAAGATCCAAGAGTGATCGATGATCTCAGTCGGAATCGCTAACAAATCGCATAAATACTGACCAACATTTCGGGAATGAACTCGCCTAGGAGTATGAGAATACTGAAGCAGTCACAATGCAGTAGCGAAAATTATCCACCAAGTTTTGGTTTAAAAGTACTACTTATCATTTGAAGCACCAGGGCCACAATCCTACCGTAAGATTTAATCCGGAGAGTTTTATAATTTCATTCTTGACGTTTGTATTGGGTCAGAATGTTTCTCACTGACAGAACGTTCGCCAGTATTCGATCTGACGTTACGATGTTCAATAAAATGAATGATAATACTCATTATTGACGATTCCAGACTCTTCAAATCTTCAGATTAAATACACTGAAAAGCCTGCAAACTGTATGGATCTTTTCGAGTCTATCAACTGTGAAATGTAGAGAAATGGAGAATCATTTCTATCGTTTTGTCGAGGAACTCAAGCCATCCCGAAAAAGTGTATTACATCTTCAAGGTGTGCAATCGTGCGGAAACTCCTGTAGGTCTCACCTGCTGTAAGTCTCAATAAAATTGTGGGAAAGCAACTTTAATGATTAAAATGAAGTGAACATTTATTTTTTGCGTTATTACAATTAATCTGTAGCGCAATAATTTATGAAAACGCCTTCTTTGCTAGGTAATAATAATAATAATTAATAATAATAATAATAATAATAGCGATTAAGCGAAATTGATATTATCGAGCTAGATGTATCTTATTCAGTTGTAATTTGTATTTTCCACCTATAGCAAAATACACATTTTGTTCGTAGAATATGTGTCATTCTTTTATTATAACTTGGGAAGCGGATTTATATAGAAACGCGTAGGAATTAATGCATTTTATCAGTACTGTTGTTGACATTGTAAAGTTAATATAGTATAACCAGATGTACCTGTGAGAGTATTCAGCACGGTGTGAATCATTGTTTGAAAAGTGAAAATAGATTTGTACTGCAAATCAAACGTCGAACGGACAGACCCTGGTGTGTGTTTCATCATAGGACCGGTACTGTTCTTGGGTAAACATTAAATTGTTGCTAATCGTGTAGTACAGTCAATTTAATCTCACCTATATTGCGAAATTCTGTACGATTCTGAGCACTGCCCCTTTGCTAAATAATAGGCTAATAGGACTTTAATACCAGAAGGGCTAAATCTTAATAAAGTAATTTGTCTCATTTTGTGTATTACACTAAGAAGCGCCAGTCTGACATTCTAGACCAAAGTTTTAAAGGTTAAGACGGGCCGTATTCTAGTTATTCATGATGGGTACGTGTGTTGCAGTTTCAAGATTTGCAGATTGCATTTCTTGCTGATTTCATGAGTATTGTACAAACTTATACATTTTCTTCTTAATGTATTTGAAGCATTCCTGGCGGCGAGGGGGAGCAAGCAATTCCTTAACCAGTAGTAGCACCTTAAAGAGGTTTTGTGTCTAAGAGGCTTCATGAGTCATCATCTTTCCTTAGCGAATTAATGCAAGGGATCATTAATGTTACAAAATTTCATTCAGTTCTGAGATATTTTAATATAGTAGACGAAAGCACTTTCGTCTTTATTTAATTGACGGACTTTTACACGAATAGTATACTTATCTTGACTGAGGACTTCACCAGACTCACTTAAACTGCGGTGTTTTCTTGAGAAAAATCATATTGTTGTCTTTTCTTCTTCTTCTTCTTCTTCTTCTTCTTCTTCTTCTTCTTCTTCTTCTTCTTCTTCTTCGTAAAAGCATGTACTCCATTGTTAAGGGGTTTCTTGGCAACTGCTTTAGAGTTAAAGAATGTATTAATAGGTGTGGCTCGCAACAACTTTTTAAAACTAACGGGCAATTCTACGAGGTAGTATAATCTTGCAATAATAATTTGATAGATACATATCTTGTCTAATACAACTTCAGTACTTAGACGTTTCGTAATGAACCGAACGCTTGGGCTAATAAAGAATTGCATAAGATACAACTTATCACATTTTACAATGCTGAAACATAAAATGAAAGGCTAATCGCTCTTTCAAGGATACATTTCTCAGTCAGCCTAGTGATTGAAACAATCTATTCCGTACTAGTGTGGCACGAGGCAACAGACAACAATATTTCGAGACGTAGTTAGAGGATGAAAAATGAAACTAAAATAAAATATAGGCACTACTATAATATACAGCAAATCCAGGATACTCTGTTGTTTTGAACTCAAGAGAAACACATTTATTGTTTCCTTCTTTCTCCGAGGAACTAAATTTCATAAAATTACCCTCTCGTTTCAAGCGACTACCGTCGTTAACGACCCGTGTCGCTGCGCGTTGGAAACCAATTAGGCGTGTATTCTGTGGGGCACCTTACGCCACGTCCACCCGGAAAAGTATTCAAGAAGTAAGGAAGCGCGCAGGAAATATCGATTAACGCGTGAACCGAACGACACGACTGTCGACGGCGGCGGCGACAAGGCGGTCGAGTGGAACCACGCGCCCGCGCCGCGGCGCCCGCCGCCGGCCGCCGCCCTGCCGCCGCCGCCGCCGCCGCCGCCGCGCCGGAGCAGCTGCTTCGCACCGACTAAGAGCCACGACGGGGCGCGCGCAGAGATATTCGTCTTCATCCCCGGCGGCCACCCTTTCCCCGCCCCCGCTTTCGCACCCTTCGCCGTCGACTGTTCCCCGCGCCGCGCGCGCGCAAGAGCCCCGACGCCCTCCCGAAAAGAGGCGCGCGGCGCGGAGCGGCGGAGAAGGCGCGGCGGCGGGAAGCGAGACACGACGGCGCCGGAGAGGAAACGCGAGCCACGGGCGTCGCGACGCCCGGCGCCGCGGCTGCGGAGCGCCCGGCAGGCGCGGCCGCGCCCTCCGAGCCTCCCCGTTCTTGTTCCGTCGCTTCCACGCCGTCGCTCGGCTTTCTGTCTCCCGTGTGCTTGGGTTTCTCCATGAGGCCTTCATCAATAAATCAATAGGGCCAGAGCATCATCATGCATAATGTTATGACAGACATCCTCTCATTTCACACCCCCGTATTACATGTACATTTTATATAAATAAATGATGCGGGAGGGGGGCGGCGCGGGCGCAAGGAGGCGCGCTCTATGCCGCCGCAGTAGACGGCGCGCGCGAAACTCGACCATGCGTCCCGCGAGCACACGTACGGCGCGCCGGGGTGGGGCGCGCCGCCGAGCGGCCGGGGATGGGCGCGGGGCGGCGGCGGGCGGCGGCGGCGGCGGTGGAGGCAGCGGCGGCGCGGCGGCGGCGGCGGCAGCGGCGGAGGCCGGGTGGGGGCCCGCCGGCCGTGGAGAGGGGGACCCCACGCTCTCGCCGCCGCCACACCGCCGCCCCCATCGCCGCGCCGCGCCGCGCCACCGCCGCCGTCGCCGCGCTCAGACGAGCGCTCGCTGTCGGGCGGAGTGGTCGAAGCGAGCCGTGTCCGTGTCGCTGGATCCTCGCGTTCACCGACCGCGTTGCGTGGCCGCCGTCTCGAAAAAAGTTTTTTGTTTTTTTCTGGTCTTTTCGTTTCCTTCGCGTTTTCGAGGCTTTTGGCTTTTCTATTCGTTTCGCGATCGCGCCGCCCCGCGACTTCCGCGTTTTCCCGCGTGGTGGTTCTAGACTGTCTCCCGTGGTGGTGTGGGTGGCTAATGAACAGACTGTGTGTATCGTGGACCATGGTGACTGAATGTGGTATTACCCGTTTGCAGATGCGCATCGCGTCCTGGTGAGAAGTCCGCAGCCGTCAGAGAACGCCGGCGAAGCAGAAGCAGCAGCAGCAGCCGTTAGTCATAGCAGCAGCCCCGCCGGCGGCAGCAGCCCGAGCCGAAGAAGGCGCAGCAGACGCGGCCGCAATCGCAGAGCAGCAGCAGCAGCGCGAGCCCTGAGCAGCGCCGCGCGCCCGCACGAGGCCCGCGGCCCAGCTCTGGCGGCCGATCTAGCGGCGAGGGAGGAAGAAGAAGGCGGAGGCGAAGGAGGAGGCGAGGGCGAGGAGTTTCGCAGCACCACTACGACGCCGAGGCCGCGGGGGGCCGCGCAGGCACCGCCAAAACGCGGCAGAAGGCGAAGCACGTGAAGCGGCTGTCGTGGGACGAGGAGCGGAGAGCCGCAGCGCCGTCGCCGCAGCCGCCGCCACCGACGCCACCGCAGCAGCCATGCAGCACTGCGTGGGCTCCCCGCAGCAGTTCTGCTTGCGCTGGAACAATTACCAGAGCAGCAATTTGACCAACGTGTTCGACCAGCTGTTGCAGAGCGAGAGTTTTGTTGATGTGACGCTCGCGTGCGACGGACACTCCGTCAAGGCGCACAAGATGGTACTGTCGGCGTGCTCGCCGTACTTCCAGAGCCTTTTTTTGAAAACCCTTGCCAACATCTCTATCGTCATTCTCAAAGACATCAAGTGCCCGAGCTGAAAGCGGTCGTGGAGTTTATGTACAAGGGAGAAATCAACGTGTCTCAAGAGCAGATCGGCCCTCTGTTGAGGGTGGCCGAGAGCCTGAAGATCCGAGGGCTGGCGGCGTGAACGGAGAGCAGAGGGTGGAGGCGGGCGAGGAAGGCGGCGGAGGCAGCAGCAGCAACAACAGCAGGCCACGCCGTCCGACTCGAAGAAGGCGTGGGACGCGCGCGTGGCGCACGACCTGTCGGAGGCGGCATGTGCCCGTCCCCGTCGCGCGGGCAGGGCGGCCCGAACCAGCAGGCCGCGCCTGCTGGACGGCATGCACCGCCAGAAGAAGCGGCGCCGCACCTCGGGCGAGCGCTCGTCCGTGAGCAGCCCCGGAGGAGAGCATGGCAGCGGACGCGCTGGAGGCCGCCGCCGCCGCCGCGGCGCCGCGGCGCCCTCGACCTGGGCTCTCCGCCGCCCGCGGGGCCCGGCTCCAGCGGCACGCCGACCTCCGCCGCCGCGGCCGCAGCTGCCGCCGCGGCCGCCGCCGCCGCGCAGCCATGGTGAACTCGCAGCAGACGCCCGGAGGAGGCGTGCCCACTCCCCCGCAGAACCACCACGGCGGGCCGCGCGCCACCGCCGCCGCCGGGCCCCCCTGGCTCGCACGGCGGGCCCGCGTCGTCCCGGCCGCCGCGGCCGCCGCCGCTGCCGCGCCGCCGCGCCGCGGGGATGCATGGCGGGCCCGATGTCGGGGCGAGCCCTCGGGAGCCTGGGGCTACCCGCCGCCGCCCCGCACCCCTGCCGAGGGACATCGACATCAAACCTGCGCATCGCGGAAGAATGATACGCGAAGGAGAGCGGTGAGTACGCGGGCGCCCCCCGCGCCACGTTTTTATTCTTTGCCCCGGTCCTTCTCTTGAATGTTAGACGCAAGCCAAGTTTTTGTAACACGCCTTTTAAAAATATTACCGTAGAGAATAATGGTTTGTGAAACATGATGTGTTTTTTACCCACAAATCACAATTTATTCTGAATTTTTTCTCGATCTCAAAAAAGGGTACTTAATTTTCTTGATTGTAGCAAATGGAAAATGCAGATATTGCTTCGGGAGGTCGTGTCTACATTGTCGCAGGCAACCTAAATTTCTAAGGAATCATTTGCTGTCATAATATTTGATGGGAATGTCGTTTCAGTGGAATGCGCTGCCCATTAAGATAAAGACATTATATCTTGTTCAATTTCAGTGCCTCAATGCGCAAGTTACAAGTTCCTTTGGCTTTCTTGAACCGAGCTAATGAGCGGGTAATACTTACACTTTCGATTACTTGGGAGTAAGCAAATAGTAAACGGCAGCGATGACAACTAACTCCCGCGCCCGGATTAGCGGTGTGAGAACGGCCCGTGAATGCAATGTCTAACGCGTCAAAGCGCGAACACAACCACACACTCGTGGCACGCTTACGTAGTCTCCGCCGGCGGAACAAGGCGATTGGCATTCCGCCCTCCGTCTCGGCGCCGCCGCCGCCGCCGTGTTCGGCGTTTGGCCGGTGGTCTGTCGCCGCAACGCTGGAGGCCCGAGACGCCGGCGACTGCGTCCACGGTCGCCCCCTTTTTTAACAAAAACATTTAAAAAAAATAATCCCGCCTCTCGTTTGCGCGCGAAATTCTTATCACCGCGCGCGCGTGTCGGGGGAGGTGGCCGGCGCGGCGCCGGCTGGCCTCGTTGACGCCACGCGCAGGGTTGGGCGAGGAGAGGCGCGGCGCCGGCCGTCGCCGCCTCGCACGTCTCGCCGGGACGCGTCGTCGGTCCTCTTCTCCCGTGTGGGCCGCGGCCCGTTTTATAGGGCGCGTGGCAACCCGGCGCGGCGCGCGCTCTGGCGCTCGCTTCCCGCCCCTGTCGTTCGTGTCACGCCGTCCGCCGTCCGGCTCCACGAAACGCCTTCTCCCCCCCCTCTCCCTCCTCCCCCCCCGGGGCCCCCGGTTTTTCCCTTCCCCCCCCCCCCTTTGGGGCCCAAAACCCCGCCGGTGCCCGGGCGCGTGCCGTCGGCGTCTTGGAGAGGTTCGCTGCTCCTGCTGCTGTTGTTTTTTTTTTTTTTTTTTTTTTTTTTTTTTTTTTTTTTTTTTTTTTTTTTTTCTTTTTAGAGTCGGTAGATACCGCCGGATTCCGTGGAGACGCGGGGAATCGTGGTGACAAGGTAATGGTCTCGAAGAGTTCACAAAGAGAGCAACAGGAGGGGGGGCTGTAGTGAAGAGGGCAATGGTTCGTTGAATGAAGTGGGTTGTCCGATCTGTACACTGAAAAGTTAATGTTGCAGATATTCTGTATTTCATATAGAAATCGTACATCAGTTCTGCCGTTATCAAATTACTTCCAGTTACGCAACTCGCGATAACAACAGCAAACAAATGGAAGGACAAAATTCATATTATAATTCCGTCCTTGAACGTCACTCCTTGACAGCGAAACTAACAAATAAGACGCAGTAGATAAAGAACGTGATGTATCTTCCGTTGCTTATATTATAATATTTTCAACTCTTCTCTCGTTCGTATGTAAAACAGTCATTGTCTTCGTATTTTGTTGTTTCTTATTTTATTTTATTTTTTTTCCTCTTCTTAAAATTACGTTTTCTCATGAGTAATTGATGTGCATTATTACTAGTGAGGTTCTTTACTAAGTACCTTGTACGCTGAAGACTAATTGAAATGTGCTATGATTACCTGTCGCTGGCCAAAAACCGTCCGGAGAGGCGAATGGAGCCGAAGCCGGCGAACAAATTTTGCGAATACGCTGAATTAAAATAATAATATTCCAATGTTGCGAGTTGAGGAAAATTCCTTAGTTTGGATCTAAAGAGAATTTTTTACTTTCATGGCGAATATACACGTTGCATGATTACTCACCACATCTGGATATTCACCGCGGCTGTCCGAACAAAAGGGTAGCCGATCTCCTCTTGAAAAGCTTCGTGAAATAAATTAATTACTCGCAGCCCTTCGTGCGGCGTGCGCAGGGGGCTATTGTTCTCCGCCAGAAGTAAACTCTGGCAAAGTATTTCCTCCTGTTGTTCGTACAGACCGATATCCTGGCGTAGTGAGAAGGTAGCTGGTTTGCGCCATACAAGAAGGTACTGTGTTCATTATTCTTTTCTCCGCTTCCCCCCTTCTAAATAGGAATACTATTGTTATGGTGCTTTGAAATTCTTTCTGAAGTTAGATAAATAAGTGATAAGGTACACACAGATCTTTAATACTTAACGAAGAAAAAAACACATTCTTGTGCCGCATATTAAAAAAAATGAGGTAAAGTTTGGCATTCTGAAATATATTGTAACTATTTGGCTGTTCTTTGTTCGTAAATGCTTTTAAACTACATACACAATTTTACTTTCAATTATTGAGGACAAACTTCTGAATAAAATATTTGGTAATGTTTATGGATCTTATATTACTGTTTTTCTAATATTAAGTTGCGTGTATTTTTCACGTAAGTACAAAAATTATTACCATACAAACATGACACACAAGTAAAAATCAGATTAACCTCTCTGTTCTTGAATGATGCCACCGCAAACTCATATTTTTGCTGCTTCATTTAATATTCGAAATATTTCCTTCTGTGATAGTTTTGAAATGGGTTCACCAAAACGTATTTGAAAAATAAAAAATTGAAAATTTCTAAAGTTTATTTGTTTTTTATTTTTCTTAAATGATATGGAATTCGTAGTCCGAGAAATTTTTGTTAAGAGATGCTTTTCAAAATCAGAACTGTGTCTTACAAAATTTGAAAACACAATAGTTATAGAAACAAATACCACTGTGCAGACAGAAGAAGTGAATTCTCGAAACAAAACGGAAACTGGAGCTTCAAGAATTTGATTTCCTTTGCTGCTTTATACGTAAAACTGAGGTCTCCCCCCAAGTTTTCTTCTGCCGCCGCAATCGAGCGCGCCAGTTGTCTTCGGATCGACACGTAATCGCAGGGAGGCCGGCGGTCTTTTCCTCTCCTCGAGCCACTTTTTCACAGCTCTGGCCCCGCCTCCCCCGCGACCGCCCCGCGGCCCCTAATACCCTGCTGTCATTAGGGCGCGGGGGAGGCATAAGTCGCCGTGACGGACGGCGGCACTTCCCGGCGCTGCGCCGTTGCGCCAACGACGCCGCCCGCGCCCTGCGCCTGCCCGCACTCGCACTCGCACTCGCGCCCGCGCCCGCGCTTTTCTCCGCCCCCGGATCCTTCCGGTTCACGCTCGGACGAGAGAACATTTTGTATCGTTCGTGGTTAAAAAAAGGCGCAAAGGCGTGATTAGTAAATACCGTTTAGATAATAATTTTTAGATAGTGAATTGAAATAATTTTCTCCCGTGTAATACTTGTACAAACGTTTCAGAGAAAATCGCCGTAACACAAAACAAATTATTTCCATGTAATGAATTCCCTTTGCATGTGGAAATCTCTTAGGTGGATGTTTGTATTAAAATAATCTCTGAATTGGTACATATGCGGTCTCCAAAAATTGTGAGTTTTTTTTATTAATATTTGTTTATTAATTAAATAAGAAGCGTTCATCTTTCTTTTAATTTTCATTTGCTAAATCGTCAAAATAATTATTTCTTTTGTTACATGAGGGTTTTGTTACTTGGGAAACTTTTCCGTTCATCTCTCCCAGTTATCTGATGTTTGTTGGTATTTATCAAGGCGAATGCAAGTCGGTCTTCGCTTAGGAACTTGGGAAGCCGTTCTCGTGCGTGGGCTGTGTGGCGTGTTGTCATTAGAGCCGGGAGGAGGGCCGGCTGGGCGCGGCGGTGGCGGCGGCGAGGCTGGCCCGCGTCGGCCGGTCGGTCGGTCGGTCGGTCGGCCGGCCGGCGCCGTTGCCGGCGTTGCCTCCTGCGCGTGCGGGGCCGCGCGCCGGCGCGGCGCTGGGGCGGCCTATGGCGCGGACCGGCGCGCTTTTTTGAAGCGGCGGCGGCGGCGGCAGCGACGTGGACGGCGACGGTGGCGCCGGTGGAGCCGTGGACTCCCTGCCACCAACCG